TATTATAATTATTATTATTATTATTATTATTATTATTATTATTATTATTATTATTTTAATTATTATTTTATTAATATAATAATTTTAATAAATGTATTACTATTTTTCTACATTTTTTTCTACCTATCAAGTTCAGTTTCCCACTCAAGTGTATTAGATCTTCGTCGCATTGCACTCAAATTGACTTTCTTGTGCTCTAGTTGCCTCTCGCTCACACACACTGACTGCCTTGCTGCCTCCCTCTTTGTGGCGTGCTGCTAAAATTGGCTTTCGTCGAATTGTTGCTTTGAGTTTTGCAAATTTTTCGACACCGCTCGCCGACGCTCATTGCGTTTTTATGGATGGCTAGAGGGAGGTGTACGTGTGTATGTGTGTGTGTGTGTGAACGAGTGTGTATGTGTGTGTGCGTGTATGCTTGTTTGGTTGCATTCATCAGCATCGACAGTCGCCTGGGCTAATTTTATGGCTCGCATCTTGCGCGCTCGTCATGTTAATGAAGCGAATGCGCTCTGTGTCTGTGTGTGTGTGTGAGTATGAAAAGTATGTGAATGTGTGTGGCCTGTATGCCGCTCATAAATCGAACGAAATTTGCATATGATGCCAGCGCCATCTTGCGGCCATTAGGCGAACCGAGGCTCTGCGCGCATTTTTATGTTGCTGGCCAAGAGCTTTGATGCTGTTGTTGCTGCTCTTGTTGTTGTTGTTGTTGCTGCGACTGCTGCTTATGCCCGGCCACGCCCACATATGCCACTGCAGCAGCGCAGAACACTCGCGCAAATTTCCCAAAGCGCTGCCTACAACACAATGCACAGCGAAGCCCAAACCCAGGACCTAGTCCCGACCCAGGTCCAGCTGTAGCTATAGCTATAGCTATAGAAGAACCAGTCCGACAACAACAACAACAACAACAACTGGCTGTTGGACACTGCAATGTGAGCGCGAGTCCACGCTGCGCCAGTGGCGCCCGCCCCCAGGGAACGGCTGAAGCGGCCGCCAACTGAGTCTGACCCCAGGGAGCAGCCGAAAGACAGCAAAACAGAGACGACGCCGACCAGAAAGGGTGGCCAGCGGCGTGCATCGGTGGGTGAGGGGAGGGAGGGGGAGGAGGAGGGGTCAGCCCACCATGTGGACGTTGTGCGCTAGCTCTCAACAGCGACGCTGTGTGACTCGCTCTTAATTCGATTCGTTTGCCTCAGACGCTGCTCCTTTGCCTTATCCCCAGTGCTCCAAATTCTTCCTGCTCCTTACCTATCGTCCTGCCTCCCGACTCGTCCCCCCGCTGGGAATTGTTGCGCAAATGCTTTTTGTGTGTTTCACTGTTTGAAAATTATTGCAAGCAAAATATACAAAAACCAAAGAAAAAAGTAAATAAAAGTAAAAAGAACGAAAATATCAAATGATATGATATGATAGACCATGTGGAGAGATGTGAGTATGTGGAGCACATGGGGTGGAAGTAGGGCTGATGTCGATTTGCTTCAATGTGTCTCTGATGCAATTAGCATGCTATAAATTACTTATGCTGCTAAATGAATTTGAGCTGCGAAGCGTAGTCGTAATATTTACAGTCGATAGCTAATTTATCGATTAACGATAAATGGGTACTTTGATTGGATAAATATTTCGCGATTGCAATTAGGAAACTAGAAATGTCTCATGCATTAATAGTAGAAGGGTTTGGCAGTTCATAAAGCCGAGAGATGTTATCGATAACCATTGTCTAAGTCTTATATATCTTGGCAGTTGAACTTAACCTGAGCTTAAAATGTGTTTTTTATTCCCTGTTTTAAACGTACATCTGCTTTTAGATAACTATCGATAAGTATCGATTACATATTTGAATGCTTAATACGCTTCTGTTCTTTGGATAGAATTAAGTTAAAAGCATAGAAATGCTAAACGAATACATAAGACATAACAAACTTATCGATAGCAACTTATCGATTAACATTCCTTTAACTAATATAGTAGTATTGTTATATGTTGTTTTTAGCATTTTCTAAGTTAAAATCATGTATATTTTCTATGCATAAAATAGTTAATTGTCTATCGATAACAGAGACTTTGTCAATTTTTCGTTTAGCTTACTCTTTTTATAGCCATCGATAAGCTGAATAAATCACTTGGCCTTTACGGCCAGCAAATGAAACACATAACAAACGCAAAGTTTATAAATAATTCTAGCTGGCGTTGCCAGACAAACATAATTTCCCAGAAATTTATCGATTAATTTAAGACACACCCAACTATAATCGCGATAATCATTAATCAATATGTGGGAAGGGACGCCAGGACATGTGAAGCCATCAAAAATTTGTCATGCCATTTGTCAAAATTCCAGACAACATCAAGGCAAACAAACGCCCACACATAGAGAGGGATATGGCGAGGGAGGGGACGAGAGCCGCACAAACATCGACTCTATGCAATTCCCTAATCAAAGCCACTGAAAGCAATGAAGTTTTGTCATAAAATTTAACGCACCTTTCGTGTGTTCCCAGGGGAGCGACCCAAGCGCTCATATAAGGGGTTTCTGCACCTGATAATTTTACTATAAAGCAGACAGAGAGAGCAAGAGAGACTGAGGTAGGGAGGTAGAGACAGCTGATAACTCACTTTTGTTTCATTTTTTTCGATACACAACGGAATAATAATGGCAAAATGAGCAACTTCGCTATGCAACAAAAAGATGTCGCACTGTCTCGGTTTCGGTCTCAAGATGCTCCCCAATGAGCATACCAATAAACATGCTACACCCACACACACACGTACAGTGGCACATTGTGTCAGTTGTTGTTCCCCACTCGACTCGACTCGACTCGACTTGAGTCGCCTCCGTTCGCCTCGCCTCGTCCCGGTTCGACTCGCCTCGACTCGGCTGCTTATATGGCAATGTATAATTTTTATTCGCACCCAGGTTGCTCCCAGCGGATGTGTCGTCCTCTCTAGCACACCAAAACGTAGCCAAAGCTGTCATAGAGCACCCCCTACACAGCGGCGAACCCCTTCCGTGCAGCCCCTCCGTCCGCCTCATCGAGTGTGCAACCGAAATATTGCAACATAAAACTTTACACAAATATAATCTATAAGCAGCAAAACTCATATTAATGTTATAGCATATGAAAGAGATGGCAACAACGAGGCCAGAAAGAGACGGCAGCTGAGCGAGAGTGAGAGAGAGTGAGCCAGGGAGAGAGAAAGAGAGAGAGAATATGTGTATTATAGCCGTAGCCTTGGATAGCGAACGCCACAAGTTTTTGAGTGTGTGACACTGTGGCATTTGCTGGGCCGCACACTGGTGCGAAACCCATTGGAATTGAAGGCAAGGAAAATATAAATTAATTATAAATACCAAATAAAGATTGTTCAGATTTTTAAATGGAATACAAATACAATACTTAAAAATTGGTAATTAATTAAATCAAATTTAATTTTAATTCAAATAAATAAATAAATAAAAATAAAACTAAATGTTATAAAGAAATAGATTGATTAATTTCTTTGACTTTGTATACAAGTTAATGAATTCTAATATAAAATATAATTATTATTAATCATGTGTTATTCAGTAATCAAATTACATATTCGATCAATTTTCAAGTGCTTCACTGTCACTGTGCTGGTGCCTGATGGTGCCTCAACTTGGGCCGTGTTGTTGATGCGCACAAAAGGGCCAATTCGTTCTCGCCGGGTTTCGCATGGCAGCAACAACAACAACAACAACAACAGCAGCAGGAGCAGCAGCAGCATCAGCATCGCCAACAACAACAACAACAACAAGCAACAGAGGCAAAGGCAGAAAGACAATTTTCGGATCCCCCAAACTTATCACAGCCTCTCGATTTCCCTTTAGAACATTATACAACACACTGGAGAGCACTGGCTGTAGCAAGCCAGAGCGAAGTGGGCGACAGACGATGAAAGAGGCGTGGCAGCAGCAGTTGGAGCAAGGCAGATGCCGTGTGTCCAGGGCTACAATGACAGTAAACGAGGCAGCCAAGCCAGAGGACGCACTGCAGCAGCGTACTTGTCATATGCGAAGAGTGCGAGCGAGATGGAGATAGGTAGAGTGAGAGGGCGAGCATAAGAGCGAGCGAGTATAGCTGCGCGCACTGGTGATAAAGTTTTGGTTCTCCATAGTGCCGTTAGTGGAGGCCCGTTGCTGCTGCTGTTGCTGCTGCTGCTGTGCGAGCGTGAGGTTAAAACCGGCTTGGGTCCAGAGCCCATAAGCAAAACTTGAGCTGCCAGGTACAACAACAACAACAAGAGGAGCAACAACAGCAGCGCACCCAGACGTACAAAATGCCATTCGACTCGCTCGTCCAGCTTGGCCTGCTGCATGTGCTGCTCCCCCATGGCTGCCGCTCTCCAACTACATATATATGTGAGTGTGAGTGTGTGTGTGTGTGTGTGCTATGCTCTAGCCTGGCTGATGATGATGTTCTATGCCGCCATCGCCGCTTGGCATGTCTGTTTCTCCGGCGGGAATACGTGGCCCGGCAATGGCAGCGGCAACAGAGAAAAGAGCAACAAATAATGAACACACACATATGCAGCTGCGGGTCTGTGTGTGTGTGTGTGTGTGTCATCGGTTTGTGCTCCATTTAAACATGGCGCTTGCTTTATTACAACAACTACAACAACAACAAGTCGAGCCACACCATAACGAGCAGCGCTTTGAATCGATGGCTTTACACACCCAAGTGCCATAATCCAATGACGCACAGGAATATCAAATACAACAACAACTGCACACACGTGTATTGCCAATGACTGTGTGTATGCGAGTGTGTGTGTGTGTATGTAAATGTGCGCGTGTATGACGCCGCATGGACACATCAAACTTTATGCAGCGCCAGCAACAACAGTTAGTTACAGCCTCCTATGCGTCGGCGTCGACGTCAGCGGCGGCGGCTGCTGTTGCTGCTGCTGCTGGCATGGCTATGCTTGCTACAGGGTGTTTCGAGAGTGCTTCAAACAAAATGTGTTGCCTACTTTGCAGCGCGACATTTACAGAGTAAATGCGAAGAGGCAACAGGCAAAGCGAGGCTATGTTAATTAGTTTAGGGAAATTAAATGAAGGAAAACAATTAAAATAAAATTCTTATTATAATTAAAATAGTAATTTCATAGAAAATATATATAAATATGCCGGTAAATAATTTGTAAATATAGTAATAAATGAGCATCGAATGCGAGAGCAGGCAAAGCGAGACTAAGTTAATTAATTTGAGGAAATTAAATGAAGGAAATTAATTCTTAATATATTTAAGATAGAACTTTTATTTCAAATATATAAAAATATGCAAATGAATATTTTTTAAATTAAATAAATAAATACCGAATCGGGAAATGAGGCAAAGCAAGTTACTTTTGGTAAATTATATGAAGGAAAAAAAATTAAAATAAAATTCTTATAATTAAAATAGAAATTTCATATAAAATATACATATATAAATATGCAATAAAATATTTTTTAAATTAAATAAATAAGAGCGGAAACCGAAGGAGGCAACACAGGTGAAGTTAATGAGTTTAGAGAAAATAAATGATTGATTGAAAACAAAATATAATAAAATTATTATTATTATTAAAATAGAGATTACATATAAAAAATATATAAATATGCAAATAAATAAATAAACATATATTTTTTTAATTTTAGATAAATAAAAACCGAATTTGAGGAGGAGGCAAAGCCAGGTGAAGCTCATAATATGATATGGAAATATTATTAAAATTTATATTAAAGAAAATATTACACATATTAAAATTTGATATGCAAATATTATTAAAATTTATATTAAAGAAAATATTACACATATTAAAATTTTTAATTCCAAATATATATGTATGTATATATTTCTTGTTTTTCTCCCTTTTCTATTTGCAATCTGTCTTATACTAAACAATAAGCAAATGTATTTACAATAATTTATAGCTACTGGCTGCATGACTTAGCTCAGTTTAACACACACTTAACAAGCAGACAAATTTGAGCACCCTTTAAAACAGTTCGCACCATAACATTATGCAATTTACTAGCCAGTTGCGCACTTTTAAGCAGCCGAGAAGCCAGAGCTGAAGCTGAAGCTGGAGTTGAAGCTGTGAGAGCTGGAAGCTATAGCTAGTTGCCACACGTAGCCACAGCAACAAAGCAGCAACAGCAACAACAACAAGTTAACATTTGCTATTTATGAGACTGTCGAGAGTTATTAGCTGGACATGTGAATGTCTCAAGTGGCATGCCCAAGACGCAGGACTCGAACTTGCAACGTGGGCGGGCAAAATGTGGAGCTCACTCTCCCGCTCTCTCTCTCTCTCTCTGTGAAAGGGGCGAGGTGGGGCGGCGCTAGCCCTGCTTTAGCAGTTCATATATGGGTAGATATATATCTTTTGCCAAAAGCCAATAAAATATGCAAATTGAAGTCAAACTTACCAGCGGCAGCAGCAACTGTTGGCTCTGTCTTGCAGTGCCCGTTGGCCACGTTCAGAGACGTTGTCTCCTCTGCCTCTGGCTCAGTGTCTCCAGGGTGTTGTACTTCAGCTGCAGTTGCTGTTGTTGCAGTTGTTGCAGATGTTGTTGCAGTTGTTGTTGCTGTTGTTGCTGTTGCAGCATCAGCTGCTGGCTGCCAGTTTTGTTGCTGTGATTCATTGGGCACTCGCGCCTGCATCAGTTTTGCCTTGCCAGCCGTCCCCTCCTCCACCTCCTCCTCATCGCCAGTTAGCTCATCATCCTCCTCCTCGCTCTCCTCCTCATCGGCGCTGAGCAGCTCCTCTTTGGGCTCCAGCAAATCGGAGGCTTTGGCCGCCTTGGCGGCATCGCCAACGTTTTCATCCTCCTTTTCGCCAACTGTGTGTAAAAATGGCATCTTATTAGGGCTAATCAATCGAAAGGGCGCATAAGTGTTATATATAGTTTGTATAGGTACTCGACTTAGATATACCCTGTCGAAGTATTTTATTTATGAGCATAATAATTGTGGAAATTCACTTGACATAATTGTATTATATCGGCTGCCTTTAGTCAGTCATACCCTCGAATTTGTCTATTCTGAGTACAGGCTGTAGAGCAAAGGTAAAAGCGAGGGATGTACATATGTTATAGAAGCTCTGAGAAATTGCCTCATACTATATTAATCTATTTGAATTGATCTAATCGGGAATACCCTCTGTAGTGTTTTACTACAGGGTATTAATGGTGTTAAATTTATTTGAATGTTATCATTGTACTAACTGATCTAAAGGTAGTAAATAATCACAGATGTATTAATCTCTCTCTCTCTCTCGTTTTCTCTCTCTCTCTCTCACTCTGTCATCTCTCTATCTCTATCTGACTCACCCTCTCCTCTCTCTCTTTTTCTCTCTTTGTCTCCCTCTCTCTCTACTTGTCTACCTCTCTCTCTTTCTCTCTCTCTCTGTCTTTATCTTACTCTCTCTTCTCTGTCTCTATCTTACCCTCTCTTCTCTGTCTCTCTCTCTCTTGTCGTTCTTTACTTCTCTTTCACTCTCCCTCTTTCTCTCCGTTCAAATTAATTCTATGGTATCAAAATTATTTTCTAGATAAACTCAGTGGCCTTTTATATGTCTCCACATACCCTTCGTTCCATTTGAGTTCAGGGTACATACATACATACATACATATATAGCAGCAAAATCGAATGCTCAATACTCTCACAGCAATTGCCTAATTGTTTGCACCGCTCGCTGTGCTCGAGCATTTGCAGCTCACACACACACACATACGGTAGACGTTCACTCACACACACATAGTCATATTAATACTCGCACATACACACACACACACACTCATGCAGATTATGCTAAAGCACTCCCCGGGCGGCCATCGTGCCAAAAATTCTATTTACACGTTTTGTGTTTTATTGTTGGAGCCGGGTCTAAAGAAAACAGTTGCCAATAGCTCAAACTCAACTCCAGCGAATGTGCAAGGTGTATGGGAATGTATGTGTGTGTGTGTGTGTTGGGCTCTGGCAAAGCCGCACGTGATCGATGGCGCTCGCTTGGCTCGACTGCCAAATCTTGAGGGGGTCGTTGGCATTGCCAAAAACAACTGCCTTAAAAGTAATTGCAAGGGGTGCACCACCAACAGCAGCAACAACAACAACAATAACCAGCAAACAACAAGCAAAGTACAAGCTCATACGAAATGGAAATGTGGAACATGTGTAATTGTGCAATTAAATTGAATTTTTCATAAATTTCTTTACCTTTTTTCGCAGTGAGGTGCAAAGCAAATGCAAAGGTCTTATGTGTGCGTGTGTGTGTGTGAGAGAGAGAGAGAGAGAGTTTCCTTTTTTTTTACATTTTGTGTGACCATTGGGCGTGCTACAGGTGGAATATCATTTGCACAGCAGTTGATATGTCAAGTTAAAGAGAGACAGAGTCTGACAAGCAGTTGATTAATAACAAAATTAACTGCTTGTTGAACTGATTTGATTTGATAGCAGCTGCTAGCAGTTCACATCAACTAATGTGGCTGTTAACTAACAGAATTTTCAACAGTAACTTGGGCTTAACAGTTCTCAGAGCTTACAGTCAACTTCAAATTGGGAATAAAATTTCTTTTTTTTACCTAACTTAATGTCAAATTTAACTGCCTCTTAGGTAACATTAATTTTAGCAACAGCAAATGAAGTACAGATTTCATAAACTTTCCAAAATTTCTATTCTATTCATTAATTTATACTAAAACCGCTTGTCAAACTGCCTGTTAGCTAACATGAACTTTGATACCACAAGCCAAAAGCCTTTCGCCATGCATCTGACGATACCGAAGCCAACTGTGAATGATTCAACCGCCGCCCAGCGAAAGGTGGGAGCACTTAAGAGCAGCTTGTTGGGCTCGGGGGCGTAGCCCGTGTGAGGGGAGCGGGGAGCGGGGAGGGTGGCAGGAGTGGGCGTCACATATTGGTGACCGCGGCAAGGTAACGGCTTAAAATATATTGCCAAAAGGACATGCCGGAATCACACCGCAAGGAATCGCCGCGAAAATCAACATTATGCCAAGCCGGACGATTGCCAGAGCCGCGTCCTGTAGCCCATACAGTGGAGCAATTCGTCCTGCTGCTGCTGCCGGTGCCGCTGCTGCTGCCGGTGCTGCTGCTGCTGCACGTTCTGGTCAACATAATGGAAACGTCGACGACTTTGCTGTCCATGCGAAAACATTTGGTTATTATTTCCATATAAAAGGCCAGCGCAGCAGAGCGGGCTATAAAAAGAGCGCGAGCCACTTGAAAGGATGTGAGTGAGTGTGTGTGTGTGTGTGTGTGTGTGTGTATGGGTGCCGGGCATGGGGAATCAATGGTGGGCAGTGCGAGGGGGCTGTGGGGCGAGAGATGGAAAGCTGTTTGCGGCGGAAGTGCCGCGTATTTTAAAATAAATGCGAGCAAAGGCAACGGCAAGGGGTTATGTGTGTATGTGTATGTGTGTGAGAGTGTGTTGGTATGAGAACCAGTTATGGTCGTTAAAATTGTCGAAGCAACGCAACAACAACAACAACAGCAAGAGCAGCAGCAGCAGCAGCAGAGACGTAGTCAAATTCTTTTTGTGCAAGACAGCAAGGCATATGTGTGTATGTGTGTGAGAGAAAGAGAGCGAGAGAGAGGGTGTATGTATGTGTATGTGTGTAAGCGCCCATATGTATGCAAGCGATTTTCATTTTTGTTTAAAGCCCCCCAGAGTGCATTTCGCACTCGGTCGCTGCCATTGCATGTGTGTGTGTGTGTGTGTGTGGAGCGCAAGTGCCCGCATGTGTGTTTCTTACTTGTTTTTCGGCTATGGCATGTTTTTAAGCGTTTTACCCCAACCCCAGACGGCGAACGCCAAAAAGGTGCGCACTTACACACTCGCACGCACACATACAGGCACACACACACACTCGCACACATATTTGTAAACGTAATAATAAGCGTTGTCCCCTTTGACCCATCAATCCGTTGCCACTACCCAGAAACCCGCCGCTTGCCACTTTTCCAGCTCCCAAATGGCTACTAAGCGTGTGTAGAGAGCGACGAGCGAGCGAAACGCTCTGCAATCGAAACCAAAGTGTAACCAATGTGGAGCAGCGGGTGGGGGCCGCTGGGCTGTGGGCGGTACATGTTCAGCTAAAAACAAAAGCCAACGCGCCAAAGCCTGCAACTTTTATAATGGCATTGGCATGTACATGTACGTGTGTATATGTATTGAAAAAAATAATAATAATGAAATAACAAACCCGAAGGTGTTGTTAAAAGCGCCAACAATAAATTTCATCAATAGTTTGCGCGTAAAACAGCTAAAAGGAAAAAGAAACCAAACAAACGGCAAATAATCGATAAGCGTTAGCGATCACATGTTGGGGCTACCTGGGTCGCAGACAAAGGGCCCAAGGCTTTGAGTTTATCGATGTATCATGTTATGCCTTATTGAGCAATTATTTCCCTATCGCTCAAAATAGGATAAATTTCAATGTCCCTTCTCACAGCATCATGTGTAAGACAAGGCCAGCAAGAGCAGCATCGATCACAGCCAATCGCCTTGCATTTGCATGTGCAAGCGAGCAAATTTCCCTCTCCACTCTGTTGCTGTCATGTGGGAATTTCCCAATCCTCTCAGTGAAGCGAAATAATTGCCTTTTCATACATAAGCTTTAGTTTACACACATACATAGGTTAGATTATAGCTGCATTTGCATTGTGGCAAACATTTGCGATCACATTGTGGCTTAAACTCTGCTATAGTCTTCATACATATATCTTTAACTATATCGATAAACAGTTTAGGGGCATTATTGAGAAATGAAGCTGGTTTAAAGTGCAAGCTGAGGAATTTCCCTTGAGCTTGCGCTTGACAAAATGTTGCTGCCAGAAATGCGACCCCCTGGGCATTTTCGAGACAACACACACTCACACACACACACAGCATAGCTGCGATCCCAAACGCCCACAACAAATCTATTTACCCAACTAGTTACCGTTAGACGCAGCCAATATACATACATGTGTGAAAGTGTGTGTAGAGGTATGTATATATGAGAGCTGTACATATACATATATAAAGCTACAGCCAGGCATATACATATAGCCTATGGTGCTGCTGCTGCTGTTGCTGCCGCTGCTGCTGCTGCTGCTCTTTGCAATGTCATAGCAAATATTTTGCCAATACACTGGGGAGCTGCCTCGCTCGCTCAGACTCTCTCTCTCTCTCACTCTCTGCCACACGTTGACGAGGACGACGAAAACGGGCGGGCAACTTATGCCAGCCAAAAACTGTCGCAATTTTAAGCCGCGTCAATTCTCCAGGTGTTTTGCTTTTAAAGATTTTCGCTGCACATTTTTGTTGGGTGAAAAAAGGTGAGTGCCATAGTTCGAGCGCCCCAAAATCAAAGCTAAAATTTTGAAGCTCGCTTTGCTGTTGTTGTTGTTGTTGTTGTTGCTTGTCAATAAGCACGCACTAATACATATGGATGTGCGTGTGTGTGTGTGCGTGTGTGTGTCAGCGAATGAAAATTCCCTAGAGAGTTGCGCATGTTGGCTTTGCTGTTGTTGTTGCTGTTGTCTGTTGTCTGTTGCCTGGCGGCTGGCTGCGCCAATGTCAATCCCCTGGGATTGGCCAGAGCCGTTGCCGACTCCCCTGAGAAATACATGGCAATGGGTTTTCTGTGTTTTGTGCTTTTTACACAGAGAGCGAGCGAGCGAGCGAGCAGGAGAGAGAGAGTGAGTGCAAAAAAGAGCAAAGCCAAAGCTCGCTACAAATTTTTTTTTTTTTTCGTTGTATACGTTGGGGAAATTTTATGCCCGCTACGCTGTGTGCAAGTGCATATGTGTGTGTGTGTGAGTGTATTGCTGTTCGTGCATGTGTATGTGCTCACGTGTGTCCCTATGTGTGTGTGTGTGTGTGTGTGTGTGTGTGTGTGTGTAAATTTGTGTGCGGCGCTGTCTTTGGGGGCTTCGGGCCGGTTTGCCAGTTACCGCCTCACATGTGCATTGGATTTATTGTCAATTTTATTTGTTATCATTGTTGTTGTATATGTGTCTGTGCAGCTATGTGTGTGTATGGCTGTGCTTGTGTGAGTTTGCTGTTATTTACACTGACACAATTTGAAATTGTATTAAAAATTAACGGCACTTTGGTTGCCTTGGCTGCAGCTGCAACACGAGTGCAGGCAACCATTTTTTTGTTTGGGGGGCTTACCTATGCCACCCAATCCCAATCCAACGCCATCTCCCTCCCCACACACCCACACACACACACCAACTCTTTAGTTGTCTGACAGTTAGGTGTACCGTTACCCAAGGGTCTTCAGCTGCTGCTCGTTGCAGCCCCTTCGATTACCGTCAAGCTGCGCCAGCTCCAGCTACTGCTGCTGCTCCTGCTCCCTTTGCACTTGTCACATTTTGGCTTTGGGCCCTGCCCCAAATCAATCAAGCACACACACACATACACACACACAGCTATAAATATTGTCACTGGGGAACTGCCGCTGGCTGTGTCCAACTTACGTTTAAGGCAGGCGCGCGGCTTGGCCTGTTTGCGCCTCGACATAGCCAAGCAATCCAAGTGTACTGAGCCGCACAGATATACCAAAAATTGGCTTAACGGTTAATAACAATTAGTAACTGTAAACGCGCGTTGCACTGGCCAAAAAGCGCGCCAAACACGTGTTTCACTCGAACAATTTGTCGTTTTGATTCAGATGGTTTGGCTGCGTTGAGCCGTGTCTGTTATCCTTGCGCCTGCAGCGTTCGCAACTGACTGAAGCTTGGCTGTTGGCCCAAAGTCCTGCCGACATGCCACAACACACAGACAGCAAAGAGAACACAGAACGAAAGCAAACTCTTAAACAAAATGGCAAACGACGCAGCAGCGAGCGAGAGAGCGCGCCACCGGAGCGTGTGAGTGAAAGTGAGCAGGAGAGGCAACAGCAGAGGCAGCGGCAACGGCAGAGGCAGAGGCAGAGAGAGAGTAAGTGTGTGTGTGTGAATGAGAGCCACCCAAAGGCCGTAAAACTTGCCGGCCAACACAAATATTCGAAGGCAACCGGCTTAACCCCTCGAGGGTTGCAACAAACATTTTTTTTCCATCCCCTAGAGAATCGGGAATCGCACCAATCGGTGGCGGCCCTGTGGGTGCCCACTGGCTTATTTCACTCTCGTCTGTAATGTCGCATGCTGTGACGTATGCACCGTAGGAGCTTGCCGCCGCCTGTTGCAATTAACAAACAGTCAAGTCAATTATTTTCATGCCTCTCGAGTTTCGCACGTGCGTATGGGGGGTCCCGCGCGCAGTTTCTCGTACCGCGCTCATCGTTCGGTTAGCCCAAGTCAAGGTGCTGCTGTTGCTTTCTCAGCAGCGGGAGTTGCCTTCAGCAGTGCGTGAGAACGAGAAGGCATGGCCTAGTAGCGTAAAGCAGGAGCAGGAGCAGGAGCAGTAGTCGGCACAGAAGCTGCAGCAACAGCGGGTGTCTAAATCTTTATTCATCAGTTTCCACTCAATCTCAAGAGCTGCGCCTTGGGTTACGCTGGCGTTTCCTTCTGATATGCTTCACTTGAGTTTCACCCTTAAATCATAGATTTGAATTGTTTTCGAATTTGCAATTGAATAATTTTGACTTTCAGTTAGGGCTAACATATCAAAATATTTATTCGTTGAAATGTCTTAGTTTCCAAAGGCAAACGTAGGACCTATTCTTTAGATTCATTTTATTTCCACCGACAAAAAAATTGACTAAATAAGTCGTTTTATGGAATTTATATAGGAGCTACATAAACATAGGATTTTCTCGAAGACTACTGCGTATAGATATGCTGACAGATATTGATAAACAAATATCTGTTATACATATAATTATTGATGAAATGAAACATTTAAAGGCATCTTAAATAGAATAATTATAAAAAATAAACAAACCTTAGCCTCATAATAAAAAAATAACAAGATTGAAAGCATTTTCAATATTTAGGAAGTATATAAAAGAAAATACAAATATCTGAGTAAGCTTCTCAATGTAACATAAAAAGTATGGGAAGCTAAAATTTTCTTTAGGGTTTTAATATATTAATTAATCTGTATAATCTACCTTACTCTAACAATATATATATATATATATATTTTTAAATTGAATAATAAATAAATAAAAACTAATATAATAACTAAAACTCCACAAGTTTTGTTATTTTTTGTCATATTTTTAAAATCGGTATATTTGTTTCTTATGCTCAAATTTCTATAGCTATTTAATTTCTTCTTTTCTGCTTTAAAATTCGCGCGGGCTAAGCAGTTCAAAAGAAGTCCTATGCAGTAACACTGCTTGTTGAACATCCGGCGCACTGCTTGCATTGCAGAAAGACAGCTTGCGACTGACTAAAAGTATGCTGTGGTTAAAATTTAAAAGTATTCTGTTTTATGAGAAACGAGCAGCCAGATAAAATTAAGTGAGAGGGTAGAATAAAAAAGGACGAAGCTAGAGGCAAAAAGAGAGGGAGGAGTAGAGTAAGATTATGGTAAAGTAATAAAAATAAAAAGTACTAGTAAATCATTATCAAAAAGAACTTGTTAATTTCCATATAAGAGTTTGCTATAAAAGTTCCAATCTATTCTACAATCTATATCCAATCTAATCTACAATTATATTCTATTTTGTGTTGATTATATATTATCAATAATAAAATAATAAAGTAATATTTACTTATAACAATATTTAAACATAATAAATTTATAATAATACCTAAACACTGCTAAATCTTAATACATTTTCGCGACATCACAAATCTGAACTGCCTATTTCCTTGCAAGGCAATCACTAAAGAAACCCCAAGGTTCCGCTTGGCAACGAAACCCTCAAGCACTTCCCGCCCCCTTTTGTGGCCCATGCGGAAGCCTTTCGCTGCGCCTCGCTTCCCATTGAGCGATTCATTCAACTTCTTTGTTTACTATGGCGCACGAGAAGCGTAGTAAAATGTAGCGGCATGCTGCAACTTCTTAACCCACTCGCAAAGCAGCCAAAAAAAAAAAAAACAAAAGAGATGGGCAGAGGAGAGCGGAGAAATATGTAAGAAAAGAAAACATCTGTCGCAGCATTTAAAAATCCGGTTGCAAGCTGCAACATGGCCAAAGATGGGGGCCAACCGAGCCACATTTAAGAGAACATATGATTGAGTTCCCAAAAAAATACAACAAAAAATATATAATGCACCTTTTCGTGCAGCGGCAGCAGCGGCAGCTGCTGAGAGCTAAATCCTCACACATTAAACTGTATCTATGTGTGTGCCGCCTGTTGCTGCAACAACAAGCACACACACATGCCACAAGTTGTTGAGCCGCACAAAAAAACAAAAAGACAACATATTGATGAGCAGGACGAGCGACTCCTGCTGTTGTTGCTGCTGTTGTTGCTGTTGTTGTTGCTGCTGTTGCCTAAAGGAAGCCACATTAAATTTGGAGTTTGTCGCTCATCTTCTTCTTATTTGTTGAGCGCAGCAGCTGCCGCTGGGTTTGACTGCGTTTCATTATCAACCAAAAGGTGTCTTCAGCATGTAGATAGGTCAAGTTTTAATGTTTACCGTTTGCATTCATATATTCTATATATCTATTCAAATTAGGAGCTAATTGAAAACTTGTAATATATAATTAAGGAGTACAACTTTGAATACAAAATAGAAAGGGAACAATATGTAAAGGAAATTAAATTTTTTTTTAAATAAATAAAAGTAGTACAAAGTCAATTTGTTTTTTTAAGTTCAATATTTTTCTTTGTTAATTTTTTTTTTATAAAATCAACTCTATTATTTATTAGTTGATAAATACACATAATTTTGTATAATAGAAATTAAACTATATATTTTTTATAAATTAAAATAGTAAAAACATAATTTTTTTTTAATTTAAACATTTTTATTTGTGTTTGTTTATTGAATTTTTGTATAAAATTATGTCTATTATTTATTACTTGATATATAAAAATATAAAAAGTTAAATTAATATTAATAATTATAACTAATACCAAATATTTTTTTTAATGAAACATAAATATAAAATTTAAAATATGATTATCAACAATGTTATATTTATAAAAATAAAAAAAAAATAATGAACAAAAAAATAAATAACTTGACTTTTGCTATATATATAAATTATTGTATATTTAATTAGTCCACGCTCCATATTAGAAATTATTAAAAGGGATAGACATTTTACATTAAATAATTAACAATTTACAAAATTTATTGCAATAATTTATATGTATATTATTTAGGTATATTAAGTATAATTAATTGACTAGTTAAAGTTATACGACATTCACGCAAAAATCTGTTATGCTTCATCGATTTCTCTCAGTGCATCGACAACAAGAGCAAACAGCAGGCAGGCAGGCAAAGGTAAAAGGAGTGGCAGCCAGGCAGCCAGGCAGGGAAAGGGACAACGAACAATAGCAACAACAAGCGACGTTAAAGGAGAGCAGATGGAACGACCCAAACGGCCCAGCGAGCGGCGCTGCCTCTGCCGCAGTCGAGGCTAGCGATGCGCAAGCTGAGCCGAAGACCGAACCACAGCCGAGCGACGACCGAGGCTCGGGCCGAGGCGAAACTCGTGAATTGGTTCGATTCATTCGAAAATTGTGCGTGCAACGCGAAGGACGTGCAGCGCGTGAAGCTCTCTCGCTGTAGCTACTGTTGTTGCTAGTGTTGTTGTTGTGCTCGTTGTCGTTGTGTTGAATGTGTTGTTAGTTGCCACCCCGTGGCAAGCAGAGACGTAGCGCCCAGCGTGTGACGTCAGTAGCGACACACAAAATATCACAGTTCGCCAAATATTCAATAAACGAAAAGAGAAGAACAAGAAGAGAGAGAGAGAGTGTGTGTGTGAGGAAGAGGAAGTAAAAGAAGCAGCGTAGAATCTGTAGAAATCTAAAACAATGTCTGCGAATAATGAAGCGGAGCCAGCGGCTGCATTGGCCGCTGCTGCTGCATCCTCGTCGGCAGACGCCGCTGCCGCCGCCTCGGAGTACCTGAAACGCACCTGCCTCATCTGCGGCTGTCAAACCAATCAGGCCATCAACATCTATGAGCCGCGCTCCGGACCAAACATCGTGCAATTAATTCAAGCCAAATTCAAGTTTCAGGTAAGCAACAAATGCAGAAAACATTTATATCAAATGAAATTCAGCTAAAAACATCAAAAAATCGATAAGCGAACCAAATGAGTCATGTGCATGTCCTTCTCTCTGTCTGCGCGTGTGTGTGTGTGAGTGTGTGTGTTGTAAAAGGGGATGAAAAGTTGTGTGCGAGCTTCTGGGAGCAGCGCAGCCCACAGCACGTCTGGCCCATCTCCAGGTGGCTGCAGCATCCAAGCGTGTGCACTTGAAAGTCGCAAAAGGTTAGCAAAACACCTCGCGAGGCAAGAGACAGAAAGAGAGAGAGGGACAGAGGGAGGGAGAGAGAGTGAGAGAGGTGGGAATCAAAGGAGTTACAAGAGCTATAAAAGTTATAGAAGCTACGGGCGTAAAGCAGCTATAGGAGTTACAGAAAGTTCAACAGTCGCAACTGCAGACATTGCTAAAAGGGC